GGAAGAGCTGACCCCGTTTGTGCCTACACCTTCCCAGCAGCGCTGAAGCGCTACACTGGATTTGCGTCCCTGTCAGGAGTTTTGATTCTCTCTCCATTTGTTACTCTTTCAATGGTCTACTTCACAACTGGAATTTTCCTAGGGAAGACGACAGATGCCTTTTCCGTCTAAAACCTCCCGAAGCAAGAGAAGCCACTGTTAAATAGACTTACTTGTCACGCAACTGCTATTTATTAGTCCAGGCAATTAACCACCTCGTTTTCCTTGCTGGTATTAGGATCAGAACAGCAAACGGGGTCCGGTCCCAGCTGCAGCAGTCAGGGAGGCAAATCCCAACTGAGGTTTCTGCTCTGCTCTTTCAATCCCTGTTACAAAACCAGTTCTCGGTGATTCAAGGTATTGCAGCATCCCGCTTCTGCAGCACCACCTGAGGCTAACTCCTGACTGAAAAGAAACCTCGGGCCAAGAGATGAGATGCAAATACTCTTGTGCAGCTATGCAACATTACTGAGCCGGGCCCAGAAGAAACCGTGCAACCTTGCAGCAGGGGGACAAGCCATCGCAGCAGAAGGGCAGGCATGTCTCGCATCTCAGCAGGATAAATCAGCCTGCACGCAGCTTCGTGCTGCCACTGCAGTGTTGTTTCTGGCAGCTAAGCCAGCTGGTTTCAAGCTGCAGTCAGGAACGCAGATGTGCGTAGACATTCATGATGGCGACAAGAAAAGCACCGACGGACTTTTTATTTGCCTTGTCGAGAGTAAGACTATTACGAGTTGGAGATGAGATCGTAAGCAGGATAAGCCAAACTCTGAAAGTATTTCATAAAAGTCTTGTTTGTGTGCTTCAGTGTCATGCTGATTGCCCAGGCTGTGAGGATGAACAAAATTCACTCAAGTCAGATTAGCCACAAACGTGCCTGAGCATATCCCCCCCCCGCCCCCGCCCCCAGTCATCTACCACCACTGTAGCAATCCCAGAATTGGTGTTGTCCGAGTCTTTCCAACTCCTGGCCTGTGGATCACATCTGATTTTTTAGCAGCTAAAAAAATATTTGTACTAACTCAAGGAGCTAAGGGTTTTATATGAAACGTAGTGGTTGTGGAGAAGTGTCAGGAGCACTGCTAGCCTTAATTTCTTTGAAACCAAGCATTTAAATAAAGGCCTGCTAAATGCTTTCCCGAGTCCCTAAGTTGGAATCCATATTCCACAATGTTTTGTTTCTTTTTCCTTTCC